GCTCGCCGCCGCACCGATGCTGCCCAACGTGGAATTTAGGCTGGAATTCAGGCTGGAATTCAGGCTCGATCCAAGAGCGGCGTTCAACGAGGGTGCCAGGGCTCCCGAGGGAATGGCAAGGTGGGCCGGTCTGTCCTCCCCTCCAGGTCCTCCGCAATGCACCAGGGTCGCGCCGCCTACCGCCATGGCCGTGCTCGAACCTAACAACAGGCCCAGTCAGATGTATTTCTCTTACAATAACGCGATTAGGTTCGTCGTACATCTATCGCTAATCTGTTATTGCACGGCTGTCGTTGTATTACATGTCATGTTCGATGCTCATCACGCGATGCATCGGTTAGACGAATCGCGAATAGAATCGAAATATTTCGGATAATTGGGTTGTTCCGTGCTTCGATTTCTTTTTGAAAAGATCGAGCGATAAGAATATTAGTGCGAGTGTGTAGAGATGCGTCTAATACTGTCGACGAATTATTCAAATGAAACGCGCGAAATGTAAAAATTTGGTTGCTCGTGTTACAATTTTCGGGGTTGGTTGAAGTTTGGGGTGAAGTTTGGAAAGATCGAGCGATAAGAATATTAATGCGAATGGTTAGAAATCTGTCTAATGCTCGTGTCGGATTTATTCGAGTGAAACGTGTGAAATCCAAAAATTTGTTTGCTCGTGCTTTGATTTGTAGAAGCGACTGAGGTTTGGCAAGATCGAGTGATAAAGTGATTAATTGAAATGGTTGAACGTTTGTTGCGTAAAGTATTGGAGCAGATCCTAATTTTGTAGTTGATATTTAGCTGCGGCGATTCTGATTTCACTATTTAAAGTAGGACGCGTATCAGATCGGTCTGTGAATTCGTGCGTATTTCTGTGTACAATAAAACGAGAGAAAGCTAAAAAGTTGGAATTTATTTCAATTAAAAATGTATTTACTACGAAATATATTGTATGATTCATGCGCGTAAAATGATTCTTATGAGACCGATTCTTTTTAACAATCACGAGAAAATGCTCGCGAATTTACGCTTCGAACACTTTTATACAGTAATTTACTAATTAATAATATTCATGTATTAACAAATGACAAATTGTTGGTTATCACTAAGTATTTGGTACTTTCCATTGCACAAACATTTTTAACAATATTAGAATTTTACTTGCAATTTGTTCATTTATAAATTTTCCCTTGCTTGTGTCCAAACTTGTTACTGTAACGAAGTAGACTTATTAGCATTGATAATTGATAAATTCATTAATGATATTAGATTCATCATGCTAGAAATTCCTGACCTAGATAAAGTCCGATTTTAGAATAAAACCATCAAAGTTCGATCTAAAATCCGCCGGAAGAAGAAAAAGCACGCGGTAGGTATTAATAATAAAGACGAATAATGACGATTCGTAGATGACAAGAGGCACAGTATGTTTTCCTGGCTGCCAAGCCTATTTTCGTCCGTATATGTTCACGTTGCCATTTTATCTGGCTCGTAACAATGGAATAGTGTTCGCCGAGGGTGCGCAACAATGGAATAGTGCGCTTGGGATACTATTTCAGCATTGTGCGACAGGGAACAAGTGACGGCTACGACGAAGATTCCTGTCTTCCTGTGTCAGATATAACAGTCGTCTTCATTCTCATCTATCTTCGTCGCGGTCTATGATTCATATCCGAACTGGGGTGAGATTACACCCGGACTATTATCTGTGATTGGTGATCGATTCGAGTGATCGTGGCGTATACCTAAATATACTACTTCCAGATTCCGAGCTATTAATGACCTTGCCAGTTTTTTCTTCGTTGTATAAATACGTATATTTATATACGAGGTGGTTGGTAACTGGTGGTACAAGCGGAAAGGGGGTGATTCTACGCGAAAAAAGAAGTCGAAAGTATAGAATAACAATTTTTCGTTCGAGGCTTTGTTTTCGAGAAAATCGACTTTGAATTTTCGCTCGGTACGCGTGCACTTTATCGCGTCTCGATATAACGGATCTCACTGTAGATCGTTGTCTCGATTGACGTTATTTTTTAAATTTTTAAATTTTTAAATTTTTAAATTTTTAAATTTTTAAATTTTTAAATTTTTAAATTTTTAAATTTTTAAATTTTTAAATTTTTAAATTTTTAAATTTTTAAATTTTTAAATTTTTAAATTTTTAAATTTTTAAATTTTTAAATTTTTAAATTTTTAAATTTTTAAATTTTTAAATTTTTAAATTTTTAAATTTTTAAATTTTTAAATTTTTAAATTTTTAAATTTTTAAATTTTTAAATTTTTAAATTTTTAAATTTTTAAATTTTTAAATTTTTAAATTTTTAAATTTTTAAATTTTTAAATTTTTAAATTTTTAAATTTTTAAATTTTTAAATTTTTAAATTTTTAAAGTTTTAAATATTTAAATTTTTAAATTTTTATCCTATATTTTCGACTTCCTTTTTCGCGTAGAATCACCCCCTTTCCGCTTGTACCACCAGTTACCAACCATCCTGTATATTTTATATTCATTTATATATTTATATAGGCGGATAACAGTTTACATTAAATTCATTCTGCTTGTGCTTTTAAGCTATTTCGAACATTAATTTCGCTACATTCTCCTTTTCTTGTTTCCAAGAATATCTACGTACTTTTCTTCTTACTGTATTTTATAACGTGTTGGATTGACAACACGGTGATTAGCAACGGTTTTGCTTATATCTTGATCTCGTCTCATACGTCTGTTAAATTTGATAAATCTTGGGAAATTCTCTCTACTTTGTCCCTCGTGTTCCTTGGGAATTTTGAATCTGTGTGTGTGGTTTGTCTAATTTTGTACGTTTTAGAATCGTGTGTCGCCCTGTACGTGATAGGTCGCACAGTTCACACGGAGAAGCTTCCCTTTGTAATAGAAATTCGTGCCTTAGTCTTGTGTATCCAATTAATAGTCTAAATAATTTAAATTAATCTCTTTTATTAATATAGTATTAAATATTAATTATTAGTTTATTATTGGGGGGGGGGAGAACATTGGAACATTGCTCTTATTTTGTGTTATCTTGCGAAGCTATTTCATTATTGTCATAATTTTCAGCCTCTCAAACGAACTTACTAGAAAAAGAAGCTAAGAAGATCTTTTCTACCTATAAAATTCCACTTGCATCCGGATCATTTCCATCCGACATTTTCCCTCCGACCAGGAATATTTCTACCGCAAAAGAACGGATAATACCTCGACGCACGCCGTCGCTATCCTACTGCAAAGTTATTCATGTCCAGAAAAATTCCGCCTGCTTCTCGTTCTGCGACGAACGATCCGTAACGCGGTTCGGTCGCGTGAAAAAGTATCGATATTCCACGCACCGATTGGACACCCTTCGACGAGGAGTTGCAACCATCGTCAGAGAAATCCACGAATAATTACAACAAAACCGATGAAGACGCGAGACAAATAAAATTTCGTGCGATACGATTGCAAATATTTTTACTTCTTTTGTTTCTTTCAAGAGACGATTCGTATTTGTCACGCGCTTGCTTTTTACGTTGAACCATTTGCTGTGACGAAATTTCTCAAAAATCAGTTTCTACAATTTCATAATCTGGAAGGAGAACACGAAACAATTTAATTACATCATCCACGAGTGCTTTTATTACGCTTGCTTGCGCCATTAACTCTGTACCTACACACACATTTTCGAAAAAATAGTAGGAGAATCGGCAATCTCGTGTCTCCGAGACTGCTGCGCCGATGACCTCCAAGTGATAACGAACATCTGTTACCAAGACACGAAACTACTCCTTATACTGTTTCCGTATCTAGAATCATCTCTTCCAGATCGTTGTAACGCGTTCAGAATGGCCGCAGATGATTTCAACGTATCGGAACTTACAAGTTCTTTTTTATACAACAAAGTAATTCTCTTTATAGGATCGATATCGTATCAGCCCCAGATAACCAGAAATTTGTTTGATAATAAACAAAGGATTAAATATTAATTATACGTTTTTGGTTTTACGCAATGAATAGGAATTAATGATAGTCAGAAATCGCTATGTTATGTTATGGTTATAAGTGTAATGAAAAGAAAAAAATTTATATATATTTAAATACATATTAAAGTACATATCATTGTCAGAAGCGAATTCCTGTCGAAACCTTCAAAATAAAATAAATATTGAATATAAATAGGTATTAAATTTTAAGCACCGGCTAAAATATTCAAAATAATTCGAACAAAAGTCGAAGCTTCAAAATTCCCAGGCTTCGCTCACTTTATCGCTACGACATTCTTTGCTCGTTGACTTTAAAAAAAAGGAGTATTATTAAGAAATTAAAAATTCCTCGCTTCGTAGCTAATTATACCTGCGATTATACTCAAGAACCCAACACCCTACGCGTGTTACGAATATTAAATTTGCAAGGAAGGACCTCGTCCTATGGACGGGCAATGAATATTTCAACGAAACGTTAATTAATTTATCCCGGCTGGCAACTTTTATCGATATTCCGGTGGTTCCTTTAAGCTTCCAAAGTTTCCTTTTTACAGGTTTATCGCGGTCTTTGCGTCGTTTCGAACGTCAAGTTACCTGAATCACCTTGTACATCGCCTGTTCCACACATATACCACCCCTTTGAATCATGCACCTGCCGTAAGAATGGAAGCTCTTGGCTTGGCCTCGCGATATCAGGAGACAAATGTTTTATGCGTGCTCGTACAGTATAGCGTCGACAATCGCTGTTTGTATCGAGAAATACGCGTTACGTGGAATTATTTTGGAGAAACTTTCAATTCCTCAAGTACAGTATCGCGTTACATATATCGTAATAGAGCGTTTATCACGTATTAATTTAAAATTTTATTTTCGTACAATATCACGTACCTTAATTAGATTTCTATGTTCAATCTTTGACCATGAACATACAAAACAAGTCTCTTGTAAAAAATATTAGATCGTTCAATGCATATGAAACATCGTTTCTTCGAAGTGTGAATTTAACACCAACTTTACCAGGTTTACCAGGTTTTTCAAGATTTAATTTAAAGTTGTACGTTCATTGTTATTTCTTTCTGTCGTCTAACTTTATGAAAATTCTCGTATTATCTGATTAATCGATTTCTTAATTTTTGTTAATATATATAATATATGTAGACATTTAGGTGTCGATGCAAATGAGACAGAAAAACTCGAACTACAATTAATCTGCATTTTGGCAATGAAGCGCGAGATGAACATTGCAAAAGGTTCAGCGAATCTTATTCACACAATCACCAACATATTTTTTCTCGATAATTCTAGACTCTTTAAGGGTTGGACACTTTACGGCTAAACAGGTTTACAGCCGACAGGTAAACCCTTTGCTTCTTTCATAATATCTATCCTTTTTTCTAAAACGATTACACGAATATCTACAAACAAAGTTTCTTCAAACAAAGTGGTCAGATCACGGTATACATGAAAACTTCCTTAAGAGATTTAACAGATAAAATTTAACTTGTATGTGCACGTTAACCTGTAGCTTTCCTGAATCGTTGGTTATATTTACAAACTTTTATACTCAATACACAGCATACTTTTATGCCACACCACACGTACGAATATATTTCACTAATCAAAGATCATTTCAAAGAAACCTGTCTATGTCTACCTTAAACAACAAAAAGCTTGTTAGTAAACAACACTAGCCATGCAAAAATTCAGCTATATTCTACAAGAAGATTTTCAGTAATGCCTGGAGGAATCGCGGCAATGTCCAGAAAATTTATATTATAAGTAGAAAAATGCCTTTCAGGGAAGACCATAGAGAAAGAATAGATAGAAAATTCAACCACCAAATAAAAATCCTTAGTATCTTGTACAGCGCAACTATTTGCTTGAAAAGCGAAAAGTATACGAAGTATTCGCTATGAAAGGAAAAATGCACGGCCACGAGGAAATTTTGTCCTGGGACGGGTCGATCTGGACGCGTGGAAAGATGATCGGTTTCGTACCCCTCGGACGACGGAAGAGGAATTCCCGAAGAACGTCGACAGCCCTTCACTGTCCCTCGTTAATATTCCGTCCAGATGTTTCAGCTCGCTTTAGGAATGCCGATGGCTGTAGCACCGCATCAAATGAAAACAGCCGTATATCCGATAACGCTTGTTCCTCGTGTGCGTAGGCAACCGCGTGGAAATATATCTAATATTCCACAGGTGAGGCCGTGTAACAAAGGGAAACTCTCGTTGTAGCGACGAACTTTGATAACGATGAGAATCATCTCGTGATTAACGCATATTCGTGGTTAACGGGGGTATTTGATTTCATTGCTGTTTGAAACAAAAGAAAAAAGAGGAAAGCTGGAAGAAGCTTGAAATGTTTGAAATGTATTTATCGTGAAATTAACCCTTAAATGTATGATTTTTTTTTTAATTGAACAAAACATTTACAAATAGCCGACTCATATTGTGTAAGACGATAGAAAAATAATAATAAGACGATAGAAAAAACCCGTCTGATTTTTATTTGAATATAGAAACCTACAACATCTAAAGTTCTTATATCTAATTGTTATTAATCGATCTTTAAATAACCTAGAAAAAATTTCCATTCATTGGTTAGCGCATTATCAAGACGGACATACAAATACCAGGATCGGAATTTAGATTACGACAACCATCGGGCTCGCTGCGAGTGAAATTCATTCGCTCGGACATTCCCCCTAAGTCGAAACGTAAAAAATTCGAAAAGTGTATTGCCTGTGATGAACATAGCTCCTACGTTCGCTGACGAATAATTCGAATCTATCGCCTGTGTCAAAAGTACCAGTATCCGTGGAAGAAAAAAAAAAGCATCCTCAGAAGGAATAGGTGACGCAATGAATGCGCTGTAAGCGCGATACACGGAACAATGTATACAACGAACACACAGTCGGACAGGCATGAAAAGTAATTAGCCTAGAATGAGTTTTTCTCGGCAGGTTTCATACACGCGAATGTAGTCGACCCTGAGCATTATTGCGTATCAAAGGCGGATAAAAGTCACGGAGGAAAACGTTCCTATAGCGATTCTTGAATTTGGTTCTACGCAAGCATTGTACAAGATATTTTTTAAGATTTCACGAGCTTCTGAAACTTATTAAAAAGAGTAGAAGATGTTTAACTAACATTGACGCTAAGATCGTCAATCGTTTCGATGAAATATATAAAAATTTGTTTTCATACTTGTAAAACTTGTCTTGCGTGTTTTTCATTTTAACCAATTTCCATACAATTTTCAAATCCAATAGATCCCAATGCAACGTAGTTCATAAAGGATATTACCTATAGGTTATTCACATAGGTTATTATATTCAAGAATATAAATTATTCTACATTTTTTATCGTAGATCATCGTAGAAAACGCTAATTGAATCAGAAATTCCATATCTTACAACCTTCAAAATTTTCAATTTCCTTCGTTACTAAACGTTTCATCGTCGAAGTCTCTTCGAGTTTAATCGTCTGATGATTTTCCTTCTCGAACGACACTCGACGACTGAATACCACCTCTCGAAAGAGAAAGAAAGTAATTTACCTCGTTCTTGTTTACTTTTTTTCTCCCGTTGTTTTTCATTAGACGAATTTTGATCCCACGAAACGGCCGAGCTTTTACGGATATCGTTCGGTCTCTTAGGGTGCAAGCAGCCTCCACGAAAATACTCGTTGCATTGTTCCCTCGAAAACGCTCAACTACCCCGTAGTCCGGCTTTGTGCCTCGCGTGCTCTTTTTCTGCGATTTAATCGCGATATAATTATTTCGTTGAAACGATATTGTGGCACGCGTCTTTAAGAATCAAAGGAGACCACTTCCCACGATTCTACACGCTCTGTTTCTCAACGGCGTCTTTGGAGTCACCCTCTTAGTCCTTGTCGTGTGTTCCATGCTCTCTTCTTACCCCGTGAACTTTGATCCAACAATATTTTTTCTTTCGTTCTTCATTTCGCTGTCCAATGTTTAAGTGGAGAGCATAGGTACTTAATATTAGAAATAATATTTATATTTCGCGACAGATAATTGATTTATGCGATTGACAGTCTGGTTGATGCAATCTTTTCATCAGCAGTTATGTCGCTTCAAGCGTCTTTCTAATAATATTTTCAGAACTCATTTCGCGAGTTGTAGTATTTCAATCCATTGAGAAATTTCAAACGTTAGCAACGAACACAAATCATTATTTAGTAATACAATCGTTTAGTAAAAATTCCGATCTTTTCCAGACGTGATTATGGATATTCGAGAAAATCTTGAAAAGATCAAATAATAACTAACCCAAATAATAACTTCACCTACAACTACGGGCATAGCACGTAGTACGATGATCGGGCCAAACGTAAATATTACGGGCATAACCCGTAGTAGATGATCGGACCAAACGTAAATATTACACGCATAGTCATACATATAACGCGTAGTACGATGATCGGGCCAAATATAATATATAATAGCTTGTTTACGTTTTCGGCACAAAATTCTCGAACGTAAATCGTTAAGGGGATAATATTTGATGACAACATTAAATTGCCGAGTATATGATATATTTATCAAATTCCGTTTATATTTCGTTTGTAAAGCAAACATTACTTCATTCATATCATACATAATTTATTTTCTTTGATTGTTTAGAAACGTATTTTCCTAATTACTTCGAGCATTATAGTGTATATATCGGAGTGTATACATCTCTTTCATCGATACAATTCATTGTTCTGTAGCCCATAAATTCCATGCCTAGTGACAAATGATTAGCAATTCTGCCATACTGGTAAATTTTAATAATTAATTTAAAGTTTCACGTGTGACAGTCAACGCGAAAATATTCGACAATAAATAATGGATAGCCACATTTTCAAATTGCCAATAACAGATAGTAAAAAATATTTTGTCTAGTTCTTTAGTAATTAATCGTAGGAATTTTTACTACCATAAATCTATTAACGCGATTGCAACTGGTTATTTTACAAAAATCCGTAAGTCAAAAGAAAAGGATCGAACCAATAATTTTTACAAAAAAGACAATAAACGATCACGACCACCGTAAAAAGATATAATAATCTTCGAATATCTTATTTCCAACCAATCGTTAAAGATATCAATACCGTGCATAAGTAAAAGCCTTTGTAGAAACATCATATTAATTTCTGCTTCCTTCTCTGCACAATTTTGATCATCAAAAAGTAAAAACTTCGTTTCTCCGACTATACAACTATTTTTAACGAATCGGAACAAATTGGAACTTTCATAATTCCACCCTTTCCATCCAAAAGTTCCAAATCTTCTAACCTAAATTTCAAATCCTTCGTAAATTGAAGCACGAGCAGGACGAAGATTTACCGCGCGTTTTCCGGAGACTTGTCGTAAAAGCACAGAGGTGGGAACATAAAGAGATCGTAAAAACTTACCCAGATTGTCGGGCTGGAAGTGATGATAGCTCGCGTGATGCGAAGTATGATGACTCAGGGAAACATTGCGCATCGAAGTGGATGTTTCCTGATGCTGCAGTCTCTGCCTGGCCACCGCGATCCCAACCGGAACACCGCCGGTTCCTGCATTCGACACCACGATCCCTGAAAGACAGATACGCGTTCGTATAAATTTCCACTTCCATTTTCGCGCCTTTTCCCTGCGAATACTCCGCCGGCCGGCAATAAGCGCGAAATGAAAAACTGTAACGCGGATACGCGGTGTTCGCAATATGCGAACCTTCGCCTGATAAATCACGCGACTGTGAGCTGAAGTTTGAACGACATTGCATGCTGTGCTCGCGATATTTCACGCCGCTACACAAAAGGAGGTGTGTACGTGAATGAATGCTCCGATTTTTTTGTCATTTCTATGGCTTTCTTGTTCTGCGTATAGGTTTGAAGTATGCCTGCTAATTTGTCAAGATTCAGGCCAATTGGAAGGATTAATACGTTTTAATACGTACGCTACCGCTCAAAGGTATGTTACGCACTTGCTTATTTCTTTTTTTTTTTTTCTTTTTTTCTGCTCGTAGAATATAATTCGATAACGACATTATAAATGGAGAATTCTAAGACGATTTATTCCTCGTTAGGGTTATCGTAGAATATTATGACACGATAAAGTTTATTTTTTAAATTTAATATACGATAAAGCTATTGTTACCTGTACGTTATATTAGGTTGTCCGAAAAGCGTCTTTCTTATACAGACACGTCTTTTACGACGATGCATCTTTATACAAACATGAAATCTAATCTGTCGAAAGTTGTGATCTTTCTCTTGATAGAACAAAATGGATCATACGTAATTCGATGAAATAATATAAAACGAAAAATATTTTGCATCCATTATTTCCTTATAAACCGAAAGAAACTTTTCGGATGACTTAATACATTTCAAGGTAAAATTTCTTCCAGATTGATAAAAAATCTATCGTGATTAATCGGAGTAACGATATATAAGACAAGTTAACGCATCAAGGCATCTTACACTCATTTTCAATATTCCATTTGATAAAATTTAAGTGAGCTATACAAAATTTCATATAATATATATTCGTTGATTTCACAATCGTTTCGAACATTAGTTTGCCACTAATTCATACATTTTAATAACATTCCTATTATTAAAATATAAATAAATCAAAATGTACACATACTTATAAGCGGCAGTGTTCGTCTCAGATCTAATTGTAAGGCGACATATATACTTTTATGTAGAATACATTAATTTAAAAATCGATCAAGTAACATCTTACAATTGTTTTATTAATTGTATTATCAATCATGATGAGCAGGAAGAATCACTGAATAAATTTAAAAACTCGTGGCCTATTAAGAAAATTATACGAATTTAAACTTTCAATTGTTTCTATCTTTTTAATACGATTCGCCTTAGCTGCGATATATCTCGAATGTAAAGATACTCGATTTGTCGTATAAAAGAAATCCGTTTCTTAATATCTTGGAAGCACAAGAGATCTACAAGGAAAAACATGGAATAAAGAAGCAAACCGTACTTCAATTTATCGATTTTTCTTATAGATGCAACGCTATATGCAATATTATCTATTTTATAGACAGACATCAATATAGATTTATTTGAATTGATTTTTACGACAAACTACCTCACAGGTCAACTTCAAACTTCAACACACAGATGTTTCTTCGTTATATACACAAAATGAGTAGAGATAAATGACTATTGACACGTATGTGCATTGAAAATCTTGAAATATCTTACAAAATCATTCAGATATTGATAATAAATTTTGATAATTCTAATACTTTCATGTGTGAAATTTATGAAAACCAAATTATACAATTCTATTCATATTAAAAAAAACAGGTGCAATATTACAATTTGTAATCGCATCAGTGCACGGTATCACGCATTTAATTTTGTTATCCTGAAATTGTTATCTATTTCTCCAGTCGCCTATTTGTCAAGTCTCAAGTACTCTGTATAACTTCATTGGAATCCGCGCGTTTATTCTTTCTTGCCTTACATAATTTCAAATTCATGCACTTAGACATCTTTATACTTCGTCCACCCATACACACACCTAACTATCGGCACCTACCGCTTTTCTTTCCATGAACAATGTCCAATCAATGCAGTTACCTTCCACAACGATCGCACCCAACATCCTCTCCAACTATTATCTTCTATCGTATCTACAATCACTCTTTCTCACACCATGTACAGCAGTATCAACAAAGTAAACACGAAGTATCTTAACCGTTTCCATCAAATATCAAACAACTATGGTAAAGTGGAAAAGCGGTAACTTTTCACTGGTGTTCTAAGGCACCTTACGAAAAGTCTAAATCTTATATAATGTCAACGTCATTTTAATATTAAAATGTAATTAGTACTTGATAATATCGAAGTAACTATAGCTACATAATTATAAGGTACCAAATGAAAAATACTGATAACGAGACACTTACTATTAGCGTTATAACTATGAGCTTTCCAAAATCCATCCGATAGACTCTAATTCTCTTATTTATTCGGTAACCCAGGTTTCATTACACGATTAATATTCAATTCTCAAGAAACAGACGTAAACTGTGAAAAATATTTGACGAAGTTATGATAATGTAGAATAGAGTTTAGGCAACTCGCTGAGAGTATTCCTTAAACAAGCAATTTGTTACGAGATTGCCATAATTTGAACACCTTATTACCTCCATTATAACGCGTCTTAAAAGAACAAAAGTTTCCCACGGTATTGAACTTCTATCGTTACTGGCTTCTGCCCTCTACGCGTCTGCCTAAAATTCATCCTCGTAACTCATCCCTAAACTCACCTATCGCTACCTGCGCCTCCGCTCATATCTGCCGGCCAAACCGCCAACGCGACTTCTCATCTCCTTCGACTTTTCCACGACGTTAAAAGTCCATCGATCACCGCACGATCCAACGTAACAAAGCAAGCTCGACCCAATCAAACCAAACGGAACCCAACGTCACAAAGAAGAAACAACGAAAATACCCGAAGAACGAAAACTAAAAAGAAACGAGAAAAAGATGTTCAAGGAGGGAAACGAAGCGGAGAAAAATGAAAAGAAAGAGACGACCTCTTGACGCGGCACGCCGACGATCGATTCCCGCGGCGGACTGTTGGAATCAGATCTACCGAATGAATTCTCACGGCGGCTCTCCCACCCTCGCGCGCGGCGCTCTTTCACGTTTTACTCGTCGTTATTCCGCCGCGAGATACTCGCTCGCATGACGTAACGCGCGCGGATAAACGTGGGCCGTGGATCGTTCCAATCGTGGGTGTAAGTGTACGTGTGCCAGCGGGTACCAGGGATAGACACATAGGGTCGAGACTCTTTTGAGCCACGCCTTGTGTTTGCGTCGCCATGCGTGCCACGCACCTCCTACTTAACAAGGTCGTTTCTCTCCTTTCCTCTCCTCTCTCTCTTTTTCCTCTTTTTTCCACTCTATCTCCTTCCCTTCTCTTGATCCATCCCCTTCTACCAATGGTTCATCCTTCTCTTTCTTAGCCCTTTAACGTCAGCCCTTCTTCGTCCTGTCTTCTCCCTTCCTCGTTGGAAGGAGTTCTTCGAGCACTTGCTGCTTTCTTTTTCACCACCCTTCTTCAACTTCTTTTCTTTGGATCTCATGGTTGACTCGTAACTTCCTTTTTGGCACCCTTCTCCTTCCTCTTCTTCTTGTTGCAGGCTTTTATCGTGCTCGTCTCTTCCTCCTCTCAGTCTTGTTAGTTTTGTTTTTGGTGAATCGATTACGACATCTTCTGAGAACATCGGGACGAAGCGGTTTCAGTCTGATCGACTTCGGTTTCCAACGCTACCGAGTGTATACTCGAATGATTTTCGATGGAAACGGTGATATTCGTTTTGGGAAACCTTAATCTTTTCACGCGCTTCTACCCTGGCTTAGTTAGCATTGGTGGTATTCTAAGTTTGTCTCAGCTGGATTTGTCAAGGTTGTCGTAGAATTTAATATTCTCAAAGGAAAGTTTGTTACTGGAAATGTCGTTTTTATACTGTGACTGCGAGAAGAGTGAATTTCTAGTTAAATTCTATTCAATTTTACGTGCTTTGTATAAATGATCTTACGTGTTGTTTTCTAAGGGGCAAAGATTTAAATTGATTAAACAAACGCAAAAATTAGATCTTTTCCTTCCATTGTTATGTAATGTTTTATAATAGACTATAATGTCCGTAATTCGTAATTTTTCCGGTACTCAAAAATGTACAATGTAAAGCGAAATAATTTCTTCTCTTAAATTACACAGTTTAGTTATAAGATATTTCTCGAGAAATTTCAGTGTTTGTTTAAATAATCAAATATGGGTAAAGGAATGTTTATATTTGTAATGAGATGACGAAGTACTTGTAATCCTTTAGAATTGTTCCTGTGTTACTTATATCTTGTTATTTACGTTCCGTTGTTTTTTACACAAAGACACATTGTCAAACATCAAACATTTAAAATATCTACATATTCTGTTTACGAGTAAGCAGAAGTTGTTTTCAGTGTTAGTCTCGTAAATTACAATTATTATCAGAGCTATTATTTTTAAATTCGTACACATATAAATTGTTTTATACAGATATTAAAAGTTAATCTATAATTACATCATACATTTTCCAAAATAAAGCTCAAACATATATTGTTGTGCATAAGAGCACGATTCACTTGCAACTACGATAAAGAGAAATGTTTCATATATATCAAAATCCGTATGTTGAAGAACATCTCACAAATCCGTTGTCATTTATTTCACGGTGTGGCTGGCTTAGATTTGAATGGGAGTCAATGACTATCATCACCGTTTGTCACGTGAAGCGTGACACAAGACTTTTACGTTGGAATAGTGCTCTTATGTAACACGTGACGTTGAATCGCACAAGCTTGACACAACTTGCGATAGAGTAATGAACGAATAAAACTATGGAACAGGAAGAACAAGTGAAGAAGATTACGTAATGTCAAAAAATATTTATTACATAAGGAAATAAACGAGTAACGTCTAAATTTTTTATAATTTTCGCGATAAAATGTATAAAAACATTATCCTGGAATTATTAGGTTGATCTATCATCATTAAGGACCAAATGAGA